ATAAATTTTCCACACTCCAAACCACGAAGGGCTTGCAATTACAAGCAGCGGTAACGCGTGTCTCTAACCCTAAGCGTGGCTATCGGTAATATTTAAAGCCTTTAAAATTCCCAGCTCGTCGCCACCGCTGGCATCTGCAGCTCCGAGCTCCCTCCTCGAACACACACCGCCACCTCCTGGCTTTGGCTGTAATTTCGCAGCGGCTTTGCCGGTGAGGGAACCTCCCGGCCGCGGGCAGACGCCGCACCGAGGGGAAGAGCCGAGGCCGGTGTCGCACCGCTGAGAGGGACAGGGCCCTGAGGGCGGTCCCGAAGCCCCCAAGCAGCGGCTCGGGGCCAGCGGTGCCGCTCTGCCCGCCTTGGGGCCGCCGCCGGCCCCGCTCCCCTCAGCCCCGAGGCTCGCCCGGCGCCGCCTCCATTTTGGCCCCGCTCCCGCCCGCGCAGCCGCCCGCAAGATGGCGCCGGCGGCGCGGGAGAGCGGCGGGGCTGAGGGGGGCGGCCGGAGCTGGGAGCCCCGGGCCGGGCGAGGCGGGCGGCAGGGCCCGGCCGGGGCCAGCGCCGTTCCCAGCCGCTGCAGGTCCCAGGCTGGGCAGCGAGAATCGTGCGGTCGCCTCAGGGCTCGCCAGGAGCCCCGCGTGCAGCGGCTTGGTGCGGCTGTGCTTCGTCCTCCCTGTCCTCTTGCACGAGTCCCAGGGGTGGCGTGGACGCCGCGGCGCCGGATTCAAACTCCAGTAGCGCCTAAAAAAATGAGGAAATTGGAGCTGTTTTGCCCTGGCAGAGCTCTGATGGAAAACCCCTGAGTGGGGCTGGGGATCTGGGGCCGTGCCGCTCGGTGTCCCCACTGCCGGGGGCGTCGGGGCTGTGCGTGCCGTAGCGCCCCAAACCAGTGGCAGCCCCCAGCTTGTGGCTGCCCGCTGCCCTCTGGGGCATGGAAATCCCTCTGGGGCTTCAAACCGAGCCCAGCCACCTTTGGGCTTTCCCCAGCCGGCCACTATCCGCCTTGCTGCTGGGTGCTGCCGTGCGGTGACTCACTGGCACGTGGGCGGCCGTCGCCCTTTGCCCCTCGGCCTTCTCCCAGCGTGGAGGCGCAGCGCCCACGGGGGTTTGTGGGTGCCGGGGTGAGGTTTCCGTTCTCCCCCTCCTCCCGGCCCCCAGCCCAAGCTGGCAGCGAGCCCGTGACAGAGCAGGATTGTGGAGCTGCTGGGCAGCCGCCAAGGCCTTCCTCCCGGGAGCAGCAGAAAGGGAAAAGCTTGACATGGTTGCTGCTGCTTGAGGGAACAGGGAAGGGGGAGCCTTTGGGGGGGAACACATTTGGAGATGGGGTCGCTGCAGGGAAGGGCAGCTGGGAGGGATGGGCTTGGCGAAGCTGCCCCAGTGCCCTCATGGGACTTGGTGTTTGCTGTGTGGAGAGCTGGAAAGGGATCGTGTCCCATTAGCCACAGTGTCACCCCCCTGTGCTGGCTCCCCCTGGACACCCATGTAAGCCCTGCACACACCGAGCACCTCCTTGGGCCAAGAAGGGCAGAGACAGACTGGATTTTGAGGGGAAGGGGATGAGAGTACCCGCATTTCAGCTGGCCCAGGGAACAGGGTGGTGGAAGTGAAAGTCCTGGGGATGCTCATGGCTGCAAAAGGCATCATCCCACCTGGATGTGCCACCAGCACCAGCGCGGCTGTGGCACCTTTTGCCTGCCCTGGTCCCCATTGTGCCCACAAGGCATTGATGCTGCTTGTGCATCCACCGGGGAAACTGTTGCCTCGTTTTGTTGTTGTGGCAACTGCAGCCGGAGCATCCCCAGTGCGGCTTTGCCCAGGGAGCTGCTGGGACAGATGGAAAGGACAGATGCTGCTCCTTCATGTGGAAGGGAAGTCCTCAGAGCAATGCAGGGTTGACCCTTGGTGATTAAAACAGGGCTTGGAAAATTGCACATGGCCCATTTTGCAAGGAAGGGAAGGGAAGCTTGGCGCAGCAGGGTTTGTGTTCACGTTGTCTAGCGTCCTGCGTGTTTCACAAGGCTGTTGAAAGGCCAACAGGGGACTGGGATGTGCGATTGCAGCTAGAGTTAAAGAGCTTGACTGCTCTGTGACGCATGCCGTGCAACGGGAGCCATTTGCAGAGCCAGGGTTTTATTGGTCCTACTATGAAACGGTGAACAGAGCTCGGCCACGCTCCAGATTTCAGGGGAGAGAAGGAAAACCAGAAGCACTGCAAGCAGCACCAGGGACTGCATCAGGGGCAGCTGGAGTTACAGATGTGGGTATCTGCAGCACGGGGATGCTTTCGCAGGGTTGGCATCACAGCAAAGAATCAAGGCCAGCCCCAGGGCTGCACCCACCAGCATCCGGCCTGTGGGTAAACCACACAGGAATATTTAATCCGATGGGAACAGAGTAGCCTGCATTAGCCTGTTGTGTGATCTAACTTGTTATTGTCGACTAAATTGGGTCAATACTCTAGATGAGATGCTGCTGAAAAGCCAAGTTTCTGGATGAGCTGATGTGCGGCAATAGTGGTGAACATCTCCAGCCTCTCTGAATCCCTGTGCCCACCAGCTCCCACCTGCTGTGCACACACGCATGGATTTGGGGAGGCTTCAGGACCTGATCCCACAGTCCTGAGCCAAGGAACAGTGAGAGCGTGGGAATTAAGTCAGGAAAAGAGGCTTTGCATGTGGCTCATGCAGGGCATGCTCTGTGCATTGCTTGTGCAACACGTCCTTGGAGCATTGATGCCCTCCCTGTGCGCCCAGTGGCTGCATGGAAACCTCCCTTCCCCACGCCCCAGAAGCGCGGGCACATGCATGCAAGGAGCTGCAGTGTGCTTCCTGGTTCCTCCCCAAGTCCAACCTGTTCTACCTATTCACAGAAAACAAAACAAAACAAAACAAAACAAACAAACAAATAATAAAAAAACAAAACCAAACAAACAAAAAAACAAACAGGCAGGTCTGGATTGCTCTAGCATGGAGCAAAGAGATGATCTCCAGTGGGAGATGCAGCAGAGCCAGAAAAGTCAGGGAGGAGGGAGACCAGCTCCTCTTCCCTGGCACATCTCCTTTTGCAGCAGCAAAATCCAGCAGCTTCCCATTTCAGGGCTGAGCCTGCAGAGCTGGAGCAGGCAATGCTGCAGGTCGGCACCTGATACCCCTGAAGGTCCGTAGCTAGCGCCAGCCTTGCAGAAGTTCCCCACTCCTCTCCACCTGCCAGAGGGATGGGCCCATGCCAGCCCCCCCGCGGCACCCCTTACCTTGGAGCCTGCTTGGGCCACACAAGGACTTTGGCTGCAAACTGATTAAAGACCGACCTAACGAACTCAAAGAGAATTCTTTAAATGAAGCCTGCTGTGCCTTGGAGAACTCCTGCCATGTCTATTTATTTAAATTTAATGGAATTTTTGTGGTAAGCTAATTAAATATGAATTGATTATTTAAGAAGCAGTCAGAGCAGTTTAAGCACTGCTGACTTGATGATTTTAATGTTTTCTTTAGAAAAACGTTCCTAGTTATGTAGCTTTGCGCACGTACAGACATTTAAGGGGAAGAAGCGGGTGCAAAGAGCGAAGCTTGGAGCCATCCATGGTGGTTTCTGGCTGAGGCAGCCACTGCCACATGGAGAGCGGAGCGAGTCCTGTCCCCGCTGCACACCAGACTCCAGAAACGCCCATGGGCTTCAGCAAAAAGGCAGCGACCTGCCGAGATACACGGGTGTCAAACGCCGCACCACAGAGCCTGGTGGGCAATGCCCAGCTGAGGCACGCATGGTGGCAGCCCCTGCCTGCCCCACGCTGGACACAATGGGGCCGTGGTGATGCCAGTTGTTCGCCCAAATCGCTGACGGCTCTGTGTCCCGATGGGGGAGTGGGACCCCGGGTGCCTTTGCAGGTGTCCCAGCCAGAGGAGAGCTCAGGTCGGGGTATGGGAACAGCTCCGCCAGGAAAGGAGCAGCCTCAGGAGCAGCTTCTCCTGGTTTCCTCTGGACCTTGTGCGTTTTTCTCCATTTTTTCACCCATTTTGTGAACGAAGCTTGCCTGCCCAGCACGAGTGGCCCTGCCCAGTGCGCTGCACCAAGCAGGGGTGCACAAAGCGGCTCCACATCCAGCACCCCGAGACTCCCTGTTCGCCCATTGGGATGCACTGGAGATGAACCGGCGGGGGGACGCAGCCAGGAGATGGACAGCAAAAGTCCTCCTGCCACCGGGTGTTTCCCACCCTCTGGAAGCCTCGGGTGGCCCCAGCGAGGTGCCCTCGACACCGCCTGTCCCCTGCCCCAGCGGACATTGGCAGCCCTGGCGCCCTCACCCATGTGCATCGCGAAGCCCCGTACAATGTCACCCATGTGTGAAGCCTTGCGCGGTGCCCTCCTGGTGCCACGCAGAGCTCACGCTGTCACCTACCTGCAGCCTTTACTCGGCACTCGGGCTGTGCCATCACGCCCGGTGTGCCAGCCCTGCACGGCCACCCCGCCACACACCTTCCCGTCAGTGTGACACGCTGGCCTTGCAGTGTCACCTCTGTGTGACGAGCGGGCCTTGCACCCACACAGCTGAGCCTTGTGCTGCCCCCCCTGCATTGCCACCACGGCCTGGCAGTGTCACGCCGTGCCAGCCTCGCAGTGTCCCCTCGCAGTGTGCCACCGCGTGACAGCTCTGCACTGTCACCCTGCGTGCCACTGCAGCTCCTCGGTGTCACCCCGTGCCAGCCTGGCACCGGACCCCCCCTTCCCTTCCCTCCCCCAGTGGCTGTGCCGCCCCGTGCCAGCCCGGCAGTGTCCCCAGGTGCCACCGCAGCCCGCTGCCGTGCCGCCCCGCCACCGTGCCCCCCGTGCGTGTCCCCCGGTGCCCCCCTTGGCCCTGTCCCCCCCCGGCTCGTGCACGCCGCGCGCACTCGCGAAGCCGGGAGGGGAAGGGAGGGGAGGGGGGCGAGCGGCGCGGGGGCGCGCACGGCGGGGCGGAGCGGGCGGGGGCGCGCGGCGGGGAGGGCAGCTGAGGACAGGGGGAGGGAGCGCGGCCGCCCCCGCCCCCGAGCCTGGCGCGTCGGTGGGGCCCGGCCCGGCCCGGCCCCGGCGCCTCATTGTGCTCCGCTTCACGCCGGCCCAAGATGGCGGCGGCGCCGGAGAGCCCCGCGAGCCGCCGCCGACAATAGAGGGAGGCGAGGGGAGCGGCGCCCCCCCCGCCCTCCTGCGCCCCCCCCCCCCCCCCCCCCCTTTCCCCGGCCGCCGCCGCCGCCGCCGCCGCCCCTCGCTCCCGCCCCCGGCCGGGCCCGGCCGCCACACCCCGGCCGGCCCCCCTAGCATGGTGCGGGGCCGCCGCCCGCTCCTCCGGCTGCCGACATGGGCGAGAGGCTGGAGCTGCGGCTCAAGTCGCCGGTGGGAGCCGAGCCCGCCGTCTACCCCTGGCCGCTGCCCGTCTACGTGAGTACGGCCCGGCCGCGCACCTGCCCGCGCCCTGTCAGCGCCCGCCGCCCCTCGCCCCTTTCCCCCGTTTCCCCCCCCGGGTCCCCTCCCGGCCCGCGGCGGCCCCGGCCCGGCCCCGGCCCCCGGCTCGGGCGCAGCGCCCCGGGCGGCGGGCGAGGGGCGGCCCGGGGGCTGCCGCGGCTCCCCGGGCAGTCAAATTCCCCGTTTGTGCCTATAATTGGCTGCCCGGACTGCAGGGCGGGGAGGAGGAGGGCTGCTTAATGAAAACTTTTCGGCTTTTGCCCCAGCTCGGCTCGTGGAAGCGGATAACAGCGGGAGCCGCTCCGAGCGGGGCCAAACGGCCGCGGTTCGGCGGTTTCGGTGGGGCCGGGGGGCCCGGGAGGAGCCCGGCGGGGGGCTTCGTGCCCGGCTGCCCTCACGCCAGCACCTGTCCTCGCAGCCCGGCTCCCGCCCGGGCTCCCGGTGCGGTTTGTCGGTTGCTGGCAGCTGCGACCCGCAGCTTTCAAATAAAATGTCACTCGGCCCCGCGTGGCTACGTGAGCCGCGGTCTGCACAACTTGCCCGGCTCTTTCCTGCCCCTTCCGAGTCCCTTCCGAGATGCGTGACCTTGATAGCAATGTCCGTGCCCGGTCTGAGCACCTCACGAGAGGCGAAAGGCTGGGGACGGTGTTTTTCTTCTGTCCCTGGCGCTTGTGTCGATCCTTGAACAGTATTTCACCCCAAGCGTTTGTCTCGGCAGTGAGGACAGTTTTGTAAAAGGAGAAACCCCTGTGCGTGTAGATAGCTCTTCTGCTTGGCCTGCGTGCTGTTGATTATTCCTTGTGTTTCAGGGCTTGCTCTTGTATGTGTGCTGCTTCGCAGGGAGAACATGCTGGGACGCAGAGGCTGGGGCAGTTGATGCCGCCGATACCGCTCGCCTGGCAATCGCAACGTGCTTGTGTGTGAATGATTAGAAATGTATGGCTTGTGGCAGGGGAGATGGCTGTGCCTTCCTATCTGCCGCTGCCTTTCGGTGCTGTTGCTGTATCTGTGGTTTCCAAAACATCCTCCATGTATGCTGGCGTGCTATTTTCATCGGCTGCTCCCGGAGCTGGAGCCTCCAGCACACGCTGGTTAATGCAGCCTTTCCTGTTTGGGCAGCTCTGTCATTCGTGTGTGTGCGCGGGCGCGCGCTCTGCTTAAATTGTCAGAAACTGAAAGCATAATGCTGACCGGTTCGGTCTTCGTGCTGCCAAATATTAACTTGCGGTTCTAGGCTGTCTGATTGAAGTGTAGGTTAAAGATTACATAGGTTAGGGATTAATCTGGAAGGAAGGAGCGGTTTTGTGTGTATTTGCAGAACTTGCTAGGTTTTTCTTAAAAACAAAAATCCTCCAAACCTGCTCCCCCCACCGTGTGAATTTCAGTGCTGTTTTCTGCATGGGAAACAAGGGTTTAGTTAATTTAGGAAAACTTGAGCAGCAGGTTCTGAAGATGGCAGCGTGCATAGATTTTTCTTTCCCAGTTAATCAGAAATGTGGTGGGCAGGGTGCTTATCCCCATGTGCTATCTGCGTATGTTAAGAAATGCCGCAAAACCCGAACATCCTGCCGTTAAACCGGCCTCTTGGCACTGCAGATTTTTCCACGGTAATTCAGAAGTGGACGGTTCATCTGGAGCCAATCAATGTTCTGTCCTGCAGTTTTGTTGAAAAGATCGTGCTGCATATTATGGGAGTGTACGCTTGTGTGCGTGGGTACGCATGCATACACACACGCACGCCGCTCACGGCTCTGGCCTTTGCGGCAGCAGATGAACTCTGGAGCTTTGGAAATAAATCCCGGTCTTTGTGCATGGCAGCGTTTGGCCTGCTAACATTGTACTCTGCTGAACTGCAGACTTTCTTTCCCTCGCTGGCTCAGCCTTCAGTTGGCAGCAGGGTATATGTACCGTTGTGGTTTTAGAGCTCAGCTCCGTTTGACGTAAGCAGAACATTTCTTAGTTTCACCGCTCTTTCTGCTGCAGGCTTCCTAGGAAGCAAGGTGGGATACCTGGGGAGGAACAGAAATGCCTCCAGTTGTTCTGGTTAGCAGCTTTCTTGCTGCTTCCTGATGTCAGATGTGTTTCCCAAAGAGAGTTAGGGAAAAAGGGGAAGGGGAAGCTCGTGGCCCCCGCTGATTACTTGGGGCGAAGGCACAGGGGTGGCAGGGATCGTCCTCCCCGAGATCGGGTTTTGGGAGGTGGCTGAGACCTGCAGCCCGACGAGCACCGCGGTGTGATGTAACCCCCCCCATTAAGTCACTTGGCTATTTTTGTGTGCTTACCACGTCTGAAAGGAGCGGCGTTAGTATTGCTCTGTGTGCAGGGCTAAGGGTCCAGTCCCTTGTATCAATGGGTGCCTGGATTGATAAATGCCTGTTTATTTAAGGACTGCTGCTTATTTTGTGCCCATTAGGAAAAGTGGGATCTCTTCAGACTGCTGAGCTTGCACAATAGCTCAGCTGACAAACTGAGGCTTGTTGGGATGCTAAAAGAGCCGAGGAGGGTGATGTGAAACACGTATTTCCCTACAAGTCTAATTAGGGCCGTGGGAGGAGAGAGCACTGGCGTTGCAGATACAGCCTCCCACTGGCTTACATACAAAACTGAAAGTATGACTCTTTCCCCCGCCTTCTGCTTTTCTCAAAGGAAAGGCCACGGTTTCCTAATGAATACATGGTGAGCAGTTCTGTCCATAGCACACTGTGATGAGTAAGTTGAATAGTGCATGGTGAGTAATCTCTCCTCATGACTCACAAAATATTTTCTGATGTTGACCTCTGTTTTTATGAGTGCCCTGCTTAATCAGAGCTGAAGTGAGTTTATTCTTTTGTATGCGGTTTAACTCCTTGACTCCCACATACCTGCCCCATTTGTTGCTTGCTTTAGCTTGTCAAAGACCAGTGATGCTGTGTTTAAAAACAAACAAACAAAACAACAACAACAAAAACCAATAGTTTTGGTAGCATAAGAGGTACAGGCCTGGGTAAAGGAAGTTCCTTATTTGCCCAGCTGGGTGATTGAGTGGAATTAATGGATATAGGTGGTCTTAAATAGGCTAATGCTGGCTGAGGGTGGCATTTGTAGGCAGCTTCGAGCATGGATATGCACAACGTGGTACTTGCTGCCTAGGGGTAGATCTGATGGATACAAGGGGTGAAATCCCCTTGTCATTCAAAGACTTGCAGATGGTTAGGTTTATTCCAGAGAACTGTCCTTAAACTCATTCATTCTCCTGTATTTGTCTCTGATTTTTACTCTAGTTACATCCAAGCATTCCTTAGGTTTGAATGGGGAGATTTCCCATACTGTGGTGGCTCTGCCTGATCTGTGAGGAGTCTGCAGTTGTCATCTCCCCTGCACAAGCGGCCCTGCCCTAGAGCTCAGCCTGTTGTGCATAGGGGAGAAAAAAAAGGCATGTTTTTAGAAAAAATCTGTCTCAGTGCCACCATCTGATCTGGCACAGTCCTGCTCATACTATCCATGGCACCAGTGAGGGGTTACTTGCACGTGGAGCTGAGCAACAGGAGGCTTGGGAGCTGCTGAAGCTGTTTTTTGTCACCCAAATTGTCGTTAAACTGCACCCTAACACGGCATACAGGTTTGTGGGTATGATCAAGCGCTTGCACCGGTAAGAGGGCAGTGTCTTATTGATCTCCTCTCCTCCATGCTGGCACTGGGCTGGTTTGTGACGTGGTGCAGGAAGCCCTGGTGGGGCGCAGCTGGGTGACATGGGGGGAGTTGGTTCCCTGGTGGCACCCGAGCCTTCGTCCTGATGGCTGCAGATGTCTTGTGCCCTGTCCTGCTAAAAAAAAAGAACAAACAAAAACAAACAAAAAACCAGCCTACAAATCCTTGTCTATCTTGGGAGTCACATCTGCCTGTCTTGCCTGGATCTTTTCATCTCCAGGCCTTCCCATTGTTCCACTGAATAGCGTTCCCCAAAAGCTAACTGCTCACCTCCCCGTGTGCTCGCGGGGGGCCATGCTGTGGTGCCTGGGAGCCCCCCTGGTGGCCCAGGCCCCCTCTGTATGCTGGTGTTGCACCCAGGGTGTCTCTGACTGCTTTGGTTCCTGCCTCCCAGCCTGGAAATCTTGGGGCCTCGGCTCTGTCCTAGGAGGGGACGGTCCAACCTGTGCCACCATCAAAGGCTTATGAGGGTTTGGTGCCTCCACTGTCAGCCCCTGAAGCTTGTGCCTTCACATCCGCAACTGTGAGGACAAGCCTGGCTTGAACAATTCATTGGTTAGTCTGCCTTCCTCCTCTTTGCTGCTGACTTTTGGCTGTAAAGGCACAAAAAATTACTGCTGGCTGCTTTGGTGTTGTCAGCCTCTGGCTGTGGGAGAGGCGTGCGTGTGCCCGATGCTGCGGAGTAACGGGATAGCAGCGTGGTGGTGATGGGTGGTGTTTGCACAGGTGGCAGGGCACATGGTGCTTTTCCTGTGTGGATTTTATCCTTGCTTTACCACCCTCCCCGCAGCCCCCCCACCTGGCTGGGGAGACAGCTGCTGTCATCCTGTCACCGAAGTGCTGTGCGTTAAAAGCCCAAGGGCAGCCTGTGACAATGGAAATCACTGCCCGGCTGGGAGCGCACCTTTAAAATTAAAGATCAACCGTAGAGACGAACAACAAACCTTGCTTACAAATACTTGAATTTAATGCCTTCCTTCTTTTTTTTTTTCCCCTCATTGTGTCGCTCAGCTTGAGTGGCAGTCGTTTTTCTGACAGCTGGCTTTGACTTCTCAGGAGCTGAAGCAGGCGTGGGAGAGGCTGAAGCCGGGAGTGGGAATGGTGCTTGGGCTGGGGGGACCACGGAAGGGTCCTGGGGGTCCACTGTCCCCAGCACTGTCCCCCTGTCGCCATCCCTGTCCGCAGCCCTATCCTCTTGCTGCTTCCCTGCCCAGTCCTCCTGTACTCCATTGGGACGAGCTGATGGTGAGCAGTTTCCCTTTGCATCACTTGGTGCTGGAGGCAGGGGG